TGAACCATCTGGTAATTGAAGCAATTTCAGGAGTGAAAATGAATCTCAACTGGGCTGGGGCAAAATAATAAAATGACAAACTTGAAGGGTAATGATTAAAATAAAACTATTCCTAATGAGTCAATATTTCATTTCCCCTCCACAAATGATTTTATTGGGTTGTCAGTAAAGATACAACCCCACACATAGACACAGACACAGACACAGACACTCACAGACAATATTTGCCCAAAGACCCTGATAGAGAACATTTTAAAAGATTAGAATTTATCTGCAGCTTTGATTTGTTGAATTAATTTCACCTTCTGAAGTAAATTTAAAACTGGGAAAAAGAGAAAGTGTTTGTTTTTGTCCAAATACAGCAGGGGTATCAAATTGGATTTTTTCGAGGGCCTGATCAGCATTGTAGTTCTCCTCTGTGGGCCGGCCAGGTGGAAGGGGGGAGACGCATTTTGTCTCACATTTTGCCAGCCAAAACAGGCAACGGGGGCCACGTACAGCCCCCTGTGGCTCGTTTTCAGCCTCCACAGCCTCCTACCACACTCTGCCGGCTGAAAACAGGTTGTGTGAGGCTCCATAGTGCCCCATTTTGGCCGTCAGAGGCCCCACAGGCTGGGCCTTTGATATTTCCAGGCTGGCCCCATGGACCTTGAGTTTGACACCCCTGAAATACAGCTTTATAATCCTTCTCTAGAATATATTTCCATGTTGTTCTACGAGTCCTCATTTTATAGTAAAATCAATTTTAAAAGAAAATATTTGCTTGGTGCAGAGCCAGCAGCATAAGAAAACTCATGTAGGAAACCCCTGGTGAGTCTTAATAAAATGTTCTGATATAGTGGGTTACAGGAAGCAATTCATTTACTGTAACTTTCTTCTTTTTCCTGATTAAGTTGCATGCTACAGCAACTAATAAAATAACAATGAAAGTAGAGTTTGATCCAGAATTCTAAACTAAAACAATCATACTGCAAGCTATAGAAAAGAAAAGGACTAGAAACAGGTCTGGCCCTTCCTTTAGAAAGAATATTACCTCAGACAGAAGATTTCAGATGAGGAGCAAATTGTTATTTATGTATTTTGATTATTTTAAATTGTTTTACTTTCAAGGGAAGAAAACATTGCTATGGTTCTTTCCTCTTACATGGCAGAAAAATCTGACTGGCTTTGAATATACAGATCAGAAGCTTAATACTGGAGGTCACAATTATATTTTCTAGTAAGGCTACTAGAATATATCTATAATAATTAATTTCCCAGGATCTGCTGGGAAAAGAGCCCAAAAGTGAAACATCACCCAGGAAAATCCAAGCTACTAACACCAATAAGTTTTCTTCTGTTTCATGCTGTTCTTGCCTCCATTTGTTTATGTTACTTTATAGGACTTGTAGACACAACCTGATACTTATTTTACCTATACAGCCTATTTTTCTCCTGTTGCCAGAAACACGATCTTCTTGCAACAGTTAAGGACAAAGCCGATCTGTTAATTATAGACTAACATTTACTGCTTCCTATCTGCAAATTAGACAGATTAGTCTATTTCCATGTAGGACCCCTGGAGGTTATCATTTGCTTGAATAATGGTTAGAAGCCGCACAGGGGATTTTTGTGAGTGAGCCAAACTAGCTTTGAAGTGTGTGCATCAGGAGACACAAATAGATCAAGACAAAACGCCAATTTGGAAAATTGATGAAATGGCATGATGGCCTCTTCAGACTCTCTCATATGCATCATAATGATAGCGATAGAGTAACTTTTTCATTTTCATATAATAAATCATAAACTCCACAGAGAAGTGCTTTCCATAATGGTGTCAGGTAAGCACATATGGTTGAATTTCTTTTTAAACAGTTTCTAAGTGTGACTTTTCACGCTATTTGTATGACATTCCCAAATTAGGAATTTCTTTATATATATATATTAAGTTTGTAATTTATAAATATAGAAGTCATGCCCCATCTCCCTGTTTATTGTGCTGCTTGGTCTAATCCACTGTCAGTCCTCCATAAAGAAGTCTATAACTCATGAGTCTAAAGTACTTAAGTACTTCCTTCTGCCTTCTACCTCCAGCTCAGAGGTAGCTGTTATCTCTTTGAGTGCATTAACTGCTAGCTGTCAAAAGTAGTAGTTCCTCAGCATGCCAATTGGGAAATTCTGGGAATTGAACTCCACATATTTTAAAATAGCCAAGTTTGAGAAACACTGTTCTAAAGGAAGTACATGATGAGTACATGCAGAATTTGTCTTCACAGAGAGGTGTTAAAGTAGCAGACTTTCCTTTGGTTTCTCTCCTCCATATTTTTTCCACAAAGCATCTGATAACCTCCATCTCACTAAATATATTGATTTGTATTTATGCTGACGATGTTTGCGTGGAAGAAACGTTGTGCAGCATATATACCCCCTGATAAAGGAATCTTAAGTGCTTCCTGTGGTATTCTTACCTACAAGTTATGAATGCTATCAGGGATCTTCACTATTGTGTTAATAGTTTATATTATTTGGAAACCATCAATATATTTGATGACCGATCAAGACAAAAATTAGTTCTGTAATACAGTGATCTTCAAAATGAGAGGCATGAACCTTGTAAGGGTACTGGACAATCCAGAGAAGTGCAAGAAAAAAATATTAGAATCTTTTTAAAATGCTTGAATAAAGTAAGGTAAAGGTTCCCCTCGCACATATGTGCTAGTCGTTCCCAACTCTAGGGGGCAGTGCTCATCTCCGTTTCAAAACTGAAGACCCAGTGCTGTCTGAAGACGTCTCTGTTGTCATGTGGCCGGCATGACTAAACACCAAAGGCGCACAGAATGCTGTTATCTTCCCATCAAAGGTGGTCCCTATTTTTCTACTTGCATTTTTTACATGCTTTAGAACGGCTAGGTTGGCAGAAGCTGGGACAAGTAATGGAAGCTCAACCCGTTATGTGTCACTAGGGATTCGAACCGCTGAACTGCCAATCTTTCGATCGACAAACTCAGCGTCTTAGCCATTGAGCCACCAAGTTTACATTTAGCTATATTATATTTAGCTATATTAAAGCTTAATAAAAAGAATTCTATATTGCAAGTAGAATATACATAATATAGTAGCAAATTTTTATAATATACATAATATAGTCATAATATACATAATATAGTTTTATAATATACATAATATAGTAGCAAAATAACACACATATTGGTGTATATGATAATATTATGCATAAGGTATGTAATCAGCAACATTAGGAAAATATTATCATAGTACATTTTTTCTTTACATACCATCAGTAAAACTCTAGATGTATTTTCCAAGGCTTAACTTTCCATCTTTCTTTGGGGGATAGGCATTATGACATGGGGAATACTGATCTGTGTGTACTTTAAAATCAGATTTGTCTTTTGAGTATTATACAAAATGTTTCTATTAAATACAATAGACTCTTTTCATAGTTAAAGAAACAGTAGAAGACAACTTGGGATTTGAGTTAAATGATTCAGCTTGGACATCTTTAATGGCAAAGCATTCTCTTTAAATCTAAATTGACTAATTATCAAGAACTGAGTATAAAACTAATTCATACATGATGATATGCCATTTTAAAATTGAATTACATTCATTGAAGTATTTCTTGATTGTTTTCAAGGAATTGTAATCAAATTAGTATCACCATCTTTGATGGCAATCCTTGGTTAGCTTCTCATTTTGGTTGAAAATTGTTGATGAAATATGAAAAATTATAAAGTGTAGATTTCAATAGTTAATGCTTTATTGTTCATTTTTCCCACAGTATATAAAATTGTGCAGATTAAGAAATTAATGTATTTTTTCTTATCTGCTATATTTTCTAGAGCAAAACATTGGAACTAAAGTACTTTTTCTTTTTAATCAACAATATTTTAGAATGTGAGAAATAGCATTATTGGGATAATTAAGAGAGCAGCAAAATATACTGAAGAATTATTTCATTGAAGAATATTTTATCATTATTCACATCTGATGATCTTCTTCAGTTTCATCAAGAAAAAAATTCTTACTAGATTATCTTTGCCTAAACAAATGTCTTTTGGGTTACAAATTTAACTATCTATTTTAAATGTTTGTTTAAAATACTTATTATTATGTATTGTGCATGTGTGATATGTATTCCCAAGCTGCAGTTACATTTTGTTTTGCTTTTATGAATTCTCATTTTCCCATCTTCAAATGTCCAGATTTTTGAAGTTCAGTTATGGTAGTCCTACTTCTATTTTTGAGATTATGTTAATCACTATATACTTCCTTTTTTAAAAGATAAATGAGAAGGCTATTTATCCTACAAAACCACTTTGAGCTTAGTACATAAGCAGTTTGCTATTACTCAGCCAGGAGAAGTTTGCTGTTCAAATTGAAAGTTTTGCACTCAAGTATTTCAGATTGGGACAAGCCAGCAAGCTCTCTAGAGCTCCATGCAAGGGAAGATGTCGTCTCCATACTGAAGGCAGGGGTGGGATTCAGCCGGTTCAGACCAGTTCAGTCGAATCAGCTGGGAGCGAACTGGTTCACTCCGACAATCAGGTTGTTAAACCAGCAGGATCCCACCACTGACTGAAGAGTGTCCAGCCCATGCTGACTGGGGAATTCTGGGAGTTGAAGACCACAAATCTTAAACTGCCAAGGTTTGACACCCATGCTCTACATCTCCCTCTGCTTGGTCCTGATTTAGGTGAATAGAATTATTGCATCAAATGCAATTGTATTCTGCTGCCTGACATAACATCCACTTGATATTTAAGCCTCAATATCAAGTAATAACATTAAGTCTGTTCATTTTCTAATTAACACAATTCTTATCCTGTTTATTCAACATAAATATAAAGCAATTATGTCATTAAGTTAATAAAGCAGTGTTGTGGTGTTATTGTCAGGAATCACTGCAATGTGGCAACCCACTGAGTTGTAATATTTGTAAACAACAACAGCAAAAATTAAATAAACCTCTCTTTCTCTCTTCCTCCTTTTTGCATCCACAGTGGCTTACTATTTGGCTTTGCAACAATTGGAGTAAAGCCTTTTTTCCCCTGCAACAGTGGATATAGAAAAGAAAGAACTACAGCAATCTCATTCAAGAAATATGTTAAAAAGTATGCTGTGCTGATAGAAGATCCTAGATTAATTAGAATAGAATAGAACTGTATATTTATTTTTGAGTTCCTGTTCACAAACATGAATATTTCTATAGCCTACAGAACTATCTAAATTATTTTGCTATCATTTGACACACTTCCATTCCTCAAGCAAGGCTCATTTATCAAAAAGATTTTCTGTGCTCCAAGCTTACATTATTTCATAATGTTGGCTTTGTGTAATGCTGATTTCCACTGCCATCTCTTTCAATAAAAACACTGATAGAGAGGCAGCAGTGATGCACATTCATTTATTTATGAAAATTGATATGCTATGCATTCTTTTAATGGGTCTGGGCACTAACAAAAATAAAATAAAATAATGATAAATGCATCATTAAAAATAAGAAACATAAATGTGTAATCCTTACTTCAAAATATGAAAACATTGAAAGATCGATGAATAAATATGAATTTAGCTATCACTTAAACTATAATAAAAAGGAATCCTTTTCCAATGCCTCCTTGCCACAAAGGAAGCAAAAGTAAGCTATGTTAACAAATAGAATAGAATAGAATGAATAGAAGAGAAGAGAAGAGAAGAGAAGAGAAGAGAAGAGAAGAGAAGAGAAGAGAAGAGAAGAGAATTTTTTATTGGCCAAATGTGACTGGACACACAAGGAATTTGTCTTGGTGCATATGCTTTCAGTGTACATAAAAGAAAAGATATGTTCATCAAGAATCATAAAGTACAACACTGAATGATAGTCATAGTGTACAAATAAGCAATCAGGAACAATATAAATATAAATCTTAAGGATACAAGCAACTAAGTTACAGTCATACAGTCATAAGTGGAAGGAGATGGGTGGTGGGAACGATGAGAAGATTAATAGTAGTGCAGACTTAGTAAACAGTTTGACAGTGTTGAGGGAATTATTTCTTTAGCAAATAATGTTCTTGTGTTTAGTTGTTCTGGTGTGCAGTGCTCTATAGCATCGGTTTGAGGGTAGGAGTTGAAAAAGTTTATGTCCAGGATGTGAGGGGTCTGTAAATATTTTCACAGCCCTCTTTTTGACTCGTGCAGTATACAGGTCCTCAATGGAAGGCAGGTTGGTAGCAATTGTTTTTTCTGCAGTTCTAATTATCCTCTGAAGTCTGTGTCTATCTTGTTGGGTTGGAGAACCAAACCAGACAGTTATAGAGGTGCAGATGACAGACTCAATAATTCCTCTGTAGAACTGTATCAGCAGCTCCTTGGGCAGTTTTGAGCTTTCTGAGTTGGTGCAGAAAGAACATTCTTTGTTGTGCTTTTTTGATGGCATTTTTGATGTTAGCTGTCTATTTTAGATCTTGTGATATGGTAGAACCTAGAAATTTGAAGGTCTCTACTGTTGATACTGTGTTGTCTAGTATTGTGAGAGGTAGAAGTATGGAAGGGTTTCTCCTAAAGTCTACCACCATTTCTACAGTTTGAGTGTGTTCAATTCCAGATTGTTCCGGTCGCACCACGAGGCTAATTGTTCAACCTCCTATCTCTATACAGATTAATCATTGTCTCGAATGAGACTGATCACTGTTGTGTCATCTGTGAACCTGCGATATATAGCAATATATATAAATAGCAATAGTACTTAGACTTATATACCGCTTCACAGTGCTTTACAGCCCACTCAAAGCGGATTACAGAGTCAGCATATTTCCCCCAACAATCTGGGTCTTCCTTTTACCCACCTCGGAAGGATGGAAGGCTGAGTCAACCTTGAGCCTGGTGAGATTTGAACTGCCAAATTACAGGCAGCTGGCAGTCAGCAGAAGTAGCCTGCAGAACTGCACTCTAACACTGCGCCACCAAAGCCAATGCAACAGATGCCACAATAACCCAAGGTGGATAAGAGAACCGCATATAGTACATGGGAGTATGTGGTTCATTAACTAACCAGGGTCTTAGAATTGTTTTTATTGGTTGGGAGGGGGTGTTTCCATTTCAACATTGAATTATTTTACTTTAATTATAATTTCATACTTAAAATCTAATTTGTAATTTGGTTCCATTTTGTGAGGTGGCATAACATGTTATTGGGCCAGTGGAAATAGATTTAGTTTCTTAATTATTCTTATGCAAAGTTGCTTGGTCCAAAATAATATCTGCATGGTAACTATTGATATATAAAAAGAAAACAGAATTTTTTACGCTTAAGAATTTCACAGGGACATTTTGCACTGCTCCTAAGTATAGAGTATACTATCTTAAAAAAACCTATGTGCTTACAATTGTTATTTTTACACAGAGATATATCAGAATGGGACAATTCAAGAGTGGCCAGTTTGGTGCGGCCAGCTCACCTGCTGCCAAGTCACCTCTGCTAACTCATTACCAGCAAGTCATTATAGGTCAACTCAACAGGGCCAATTTGCCACAGGGACAACTTGGCATGGGCAACAAGAGGATTAACCATGCAGGCAGTTAAGTGAATGGGTGGGCAGAGTGCAGAGCAATTGCAATGGCTGAGGGCTTCCCATTTTCACACATACAGCCACCGCTATTCTTGAGCTCTGAGCTAAAGAGTGCTGGGATGGTGATGGCAGTGGTTGGCAAGGTGGGCAGTGGGGAGGCGGTGACTGGAGATGTTTCATTTACACATATTCCGTTGCTGTCACTGCCACTGCACTGGACTGTGGGAGCTCAGTGCAGTGTCATTGGCGAGGTGTGTGAAAATGGGACACACTGAGCTACTGTGTCCCGCCACCCACTCTGCTCGCTATTACTACCACCAAACAGCCTGAACTCCAAATGGTCTGGAGCTCAGCACAATAACAGTGGTGATGGCAAGAGATGTGAAAATGGGAAGACCCTGATTGCCAGTGCTGCTCTGCACTCTGCCCACCTGCTTGCTTGCCTGCCTACCCAGCTCTTCCTCCAGATGCTCATGGTGACTTGTCCCCCTGGTGAATGGGATGTGTTGAGTTGTCCTGCAGCAACTTGGTGGCCAAGTTGTCCTATCTCTCTCTCTCCCTCTCCCCCCCTCTCTCTGTCTCTCTGCTGTCTCTGTCTCTCTCTCTCTGTCTCTCTCTCTCTCTCTCTCTCACTCTCTCTCACACACACACACACACACACACACACACACACACACACACTATTATCTTCTTACGGATCAACAAGAGAAAAGACGAGGGAAGAATATGTACACTGTATCAAGCATAATAAAACTGTAATACAAGTATAAAAAATTAAATATGAAAGAGGGAAAAATTAAATATTTGCTAGAAAACATTAGGCATGAAAGTTACAGAAGAGTATTTGTATGGGTCTGCCTGTCTCTATCTATCTATCTATCTATCTATCTATCTATCTATCTATCTATCTATTATCACAAAACACATCTATTAAGCAATGCAACTGATGCTGAGAATGAGAGCAGAAGTGATGGAAAATAAACACTAATCAGAAATAGGGGGAGTCTAGCAAAGATATAGAATAATGAGTTACTTAAGGTGATTGGATGGAAAATCTATCAGTTTGACAAGAAAGTGTTTCTTCCCAATGGCTTGCTGTTTAAACTTGGCAGCCTATTTAGTATTAATTATGTATCAATGTGCCAACCATCAGAATAGTCTTTCTTTTTTCTAGCATTGAAATGTATATCCTCCAAATAAAAAGCAGATTTCATCCATAATAATAGATGCTGTTTTAATTTTATATCTTCCTTAGTAAAATAACATTAATTATGAATAAGGTTTTTTTTGATATACTGATTCACATCTTTATAAAACTCGAAAATTGATAATGATAAACCTAACATTTTTCTTTAAATCTTACCATTTATATTCGCATCATATTTGATATATTAGTCAGTGAAAGGCTGCAGGTAATGCTCCTATGAAATAGACGCTTTATTTGAAGTTCCTAGTGGTCCCATTTTCAAAGTTATTTTTTTCACTACTATTCGAGGCCGAACAGGTATCTGTTGTCAGAACAACAATCTTGGAATGGTAATTCCTCTTCCAAAGGATTCTAATTATTTAGATAATTAGCTAAATAGGATACAGAACTAACGAGGCCTTTGATCGCATCCATCTGATCTATCTATTATGCTGTATTTCAGTTTACCAGCTCCTGACACGATATCCATCAAAATTCTTTTAGATATCCTTTTTGTATTCCATCACAGTAATTTTAAAACTGCTATAAGAAATGCTATGTTCTGCTGCAATAAGATAAATTGAAAGTAGCATAGAGTAAACTATCTATTCATTTTGTTTGAAGACATAGTTAATAATTTCTTGGGTTGAATATATAGTACATGCAAAGGAACATTAATATGATCAGATTGATCCAAACTATTTAGCTCTTATGGTACATCATAAAATGGTTCTCCTGTGTTCAATATATGGAATCCAAAGTATTAAGGAAACCTGTTTGGACAGCGTTAAACAGCATTGTAAATGAAAACTACAGGATAATTTAAGAGATGAAGGGCAAGCTGCAAAACATCCATGGCAATCTGCCAAATGTTATGTTGTTGCCAATTAAGCTTACTGCTATCCCTTCTGGTTCTGTTACCTGAAATCAGGGGCGGGTTCCAAATCCCACTGTTACCGGTTCGTTCGCAGAAGCATCCAGGAAGGTGGGCGGAGCCTCCCACTGCCACCACTGGTTTGCCTGATCCGGTGGGAACCGGTAGCAACCTACCACTGCCTGAAATGTTTACATTAGACTAATGGTAGAGCCAGACCTGAAACACTATATAAAAAATATCTTGTTTGATGCTAAAAATAAATAATGTGGGTTTTCTTTTTTTAGTGGCTAATGTGTAATATCTGTAGCTGTAGTAATGATCATTTTAGAAGATTTCCACTTGGCCTACTTTTATGGCAATTATTAGTATGCTGTGTTATAGATATTCCATTCCTTCATGTAAAAGATAGCTTCTTTTGAACTAAAGTGTCTATGTTTGCCCAAAACTTTGTTATATAGAGACACCTAGTGGTATGTATTATTAAAAATATAGTCATGG